TTTGGACATTTTGGCTATTAAGCCCAAAACAATATCTTTCCACAATTTAGTCCTTAACTGAATGCTAAAATATCACAAAATTTCGGGGTATTACATCCACCCCTCCTAAAAAGGAGTTTTGTCCCCAAAACTCAAATTGAGGACCATATCAAGTGGTGAATGGCTTCACACAATCCAAGACAAAACAATTGCCTCATCACTTTCTAGGAACAGAACACGGCCTATTACGCTTCCGCTGCGCCACTCTGATATCAAACCACAACTAATCACAAAAGGCAAAACACTAATCACTTAACAAGATTTGCCATCAAATAAGCTACTGGAGGTTGGGGTGATACGGGAAGCACAAGGAATAAAATAAATCCTGCCAAAGCCACAAAAAGAACAATTATGGGGTTACGCTTCGAACCCATCACAAGACGAGTTGACAAAGAATGGCATGGATTTAAGGATGAGTACAACAAAATTTTGAACTCTTATCAAAGACGGATAAGCATCCAATGGATATACGAATCATGAATGAATGAACAATGCATGGATGCCTTACAAATTATGCCACAAAACAAGGTTAACCCATAAGCAGGGTCATGTTTAACAAAGCAACTGGAATCAAGAAACAGATTTTAGCAATTAACAAGAGTTAAAAGCTAGGACCATCCAAAGACATGTAAGAATGTCAAGAATTGCAATAGAATAAAATCAATGGAAAATATGAATGCTTGGAAGAATACTGGAACATAAGAGTGCAAGGTAGAATGCCTCAAAAATTTAGCAACAAAACGGCATTCACCAAGAATCAAGATCACATTTAACCAAGCAGTCAAAATTGAGAAACAAGAGTTAACCATGAAACAAGCAATAGAATTCCAAAAATTAGGCCCACAAAAGATTCCAATAATGACAATCAGAACACGGATTCAAGAACATATATAATCAAGATGGCAAGATCTAGTACCTCAAGTACTAGAATTAATTAACAGAACAAAACAATGGCTGAGATCAAGAACAATTTCAGTTGAAACAAAACTCCAGGACATCAAGTATTTCAAAGATTACCCCTTCACCTCGTAGCTCATGGAGGCTAAGCAGATTTACAATCAAGTCATCCTAGACATCTTAGAGTCAAGTCAAAGCTAGGACATCAAGAATACAGAGATTAACACTTGCAAGAGACCAGAATGAGGATGCCTCATATAGGTATCTTCTAATAATCATCACCCCTCCTAAAGAGGTGTCCATATGAACAAAAATCAAAAATCAAGAAGATCATCCAGGTACACGAACTAGCAGAATATGCAGTATTTGAGCAAGAGCAGTATACATAATTTGAAAAAGAGCAAGAATCAGGACAAGAATGGTTTTCAAAAACAATTCAAAATAGATTCCAAGAACAATGCAAGAATTAATTTCAGACAAGTATCAAGATAATGAGGATTCCAATAATCATTATCTATTTCTGGATTTCAGTTTCAAGAACAAGTACAAAGCAATATCAAGAAAGATTCAAGACAGATTTCAAGAGTTTTAAGCAATTTCAACAAACATCAAGAATGTAGAGATTGGCAACACTATAGAGTTTAACTTTATGACAGCTTGCCAATCTTCACAAAACAAGGTAATTTCAATTGAATGATCACTGCTCTTGATTAACCAACATAGAAAAATGAGCCACATGAAAAGACCACGAAGCTCTAAATGGAAAAAGTGAAACTTCACTATAAGACTTTCAGAAAGATAAGGAGCAACAGAATTACCAAGTAATCCAGCTCCTAAAACACAGCTAGAAAACACACAACATTTGCTAAAATAGCATGGAATCTCTTACAAAGTCGAGGGTTGCCCATTTTCCACTGGTCATGCGACAAACAAAACAAATTCTCAACCAGCTATACTGTAGAGACCAACAGGAACAGGATCAATAACAAAAGATCTCTGCAACTCCCCAGATTTTACAATGGTGGCAAAAAGCATACAAAAATTCTATTCACATAACAAATCTAAACAAGTGCAGACTATCAGAAAGTGACCAAGTTCAAAACAAGGTCTTAAGAACATAACGGGCAAGATCACTTTCACAACTTCACACAGAGTATGAAGGCAAGAAACAAGAACAATCAGATTACCATCTCTTCAAATGGATTAGCAAATTCAGATAACATGAATTAGAATCGTCCCTTATATAACCCCATCACTCGTCTCACCACGATTCTAAAATCCACTAGCTAGCCAAGTCCAAAACAAATCCTAGGTATTCAATTAAACCTAGGCTCGAATATCACTCAATCTGCTCTGATGCCACTCAATCTGGAGGTGCTTAATTTAATTCTAAACTCTTAATTTAAACCTAAGCTCTTAATTTCAACCTAAGCTCTTAATTTCAACCTAAGCTATTAATTTAAACCAAGCTCTGATACCACTAAATCTGTCACGCCCCAAAACCCAATTTCGAGACGCGACAGACGCCGTACACTCGTGAGACGGGTCCCACAAGTGCACAAGGCTCGGAACTTATCATATT